CAGTGGTCAGCACCCAAGCAGTGGTGAGCACCTATGCTTCTCCCCAAATGCCCCACTGAGGGCACCAAGTGCTAGCCCCTGTCTCCTTCAGCCAGCAGTTGTGGCACTTTGCCCCTTGTTCCCATCAGTGCCAGCATGCACACTCCCAGTCTTGTTCACACGCTCCTGCTCTTGTACACACACTCACACTGAGCACAAGTGATCCTCCCCTCCTGCTTGCAGCAGCATGCAGCTCCTTGAGTGTGTGCAAGGAGCGTCCTGCTCCCCCCAGCACAGCCACAACCTACTGCATTTCCAGTGTGGGACTCGGACCCCAGGGCAGGAATAGGATGGTGTGAACAAAGCTTGCTCAGGAACGAAGCAAGGACTGCCCAAGTGGCCCCAATTCAGAACAAGACACAAGCACCCATGCGTCTCACTGGGCAAGCACAGCATGAATGCTTTGCTGCACACAAGAGCTTGCTCTGCTCATCCGAGCAGCCCCACAAGCCAGCCCTATGCTGCCATCTCTGCCCTGATCCAACCTGCCAAGGGACCCCAGCCCAGCCGACTGCCCATGCCATCTTCTCTGTGAGCTGTTCACCCTGTGTGCAAGCAGTCCATGTCACACACACAGTGCTGGCCCCACTCTGGCTAACTAGCAGCTGCAAAGCCACAGCTACCTTGCGCTAATTAAAAACATCCCTCCTTTGAAGGAGCCAAAGGGCCACTTCCTCTCCACTGCACTGGGCTGGCGTGGGTTTGAGGGATGTCGTCCCCACCCTGCAAAATGCGCAGGCCGCTACCGCCTTCGCCCACTGACCGTGGCCACTCCGTTCCCTGGGGCTTATTTTTAGTGCCTGTTAAAAAGGCGAGGCAGGGTGCTGGAGGCAGGCAGGTGCTCGGCTGGCCCCGGGGTGGCAAAGGCCTGTGGCTCCAGAGCGTGTCCCAGCCGTCCTCCACCTGCCCTGCTGGCCTGTGTCCCCTCACGGGAGGGGGACGGGCGCCTGGCCCTGGTCCCAGCCCCGGTGGGGAACAATAAGAGGGATGCTGACCCCCGGGCGCCCTGACGTCAGCCAGCACCGCCGCCGGCACCACAGCCAGCCCTGGCCCCGGGGCTCCCACTCGCCCTCGGCTGGGGCCGCACTGGAAGCCGCCTGTTTGTTTATCTTCCTCTCCAGCATTGCTTGTTTTGATGGCACATCCTCCTCCTCCTCACCGGGCCCCGGGGTCGAGCCGTGAACCCGCCGCGTCCTGTTTGCCGAGGTCCCGCGCCCCGCTTGCGGAGGTGCGGAGCAGCCACCCCCGCGCCGGCCGCAGCAGATAAAAATACACAGGGCAGAGCATCCTGGGGAGCGGGGGCTATATTTGCACTGATGGTATCGGTGAGCTTGTCCTCGGTGTACCTGTCCCTGCCCTTGTCAGAGCACGGGGCACAGCACTGCATGGACCCCCTGACCCTGCCCCTCACAGAGCCGGATCATTGACTCTGGCAGAAGGCATGTCATGAAATGCTGACTGTAGCCAAGATAGGACAAGCTCTCAAAACCTATGGGTGGGCACCCCACGTTGTCCTGTGGGGTCATTTCTGTAACCCAAAGGGACACTTGGGGACAAAATATCCCCAACCTGCTAGGTCCTAGGCTGCTGGGAACAGTGCCGGGGCAGCTCCGAGGCACTGAGCCCTCTCCAGCCACCTGCTCCTTCCCCTCATGGTGTGAACCCCTGGGCTTGCCAATAAAAGCCACCGGCTTTGCCTCAGCTTGTGCACAGCCACCAGTCTCCTTCCAGCTCTGCCCAAGCCTAGGCAGCTGCTCAGCAGTGAACCCTTGCCAAAAACTGTGTGTGTGTGAAAGCATCGTTTCCTAAACGTATAAATATTACCAGGGATTTGCTGGAAAACTCCCCACGGTTAGTTAAAATGCCCTGGACAGCCAAGTGCACACAAGCCCAGGGAAAGGGCATGTTTAAGCTGAGCGGCTGAGCAGATCTGCCTTGGGGGACTGACAGGTCCTTTCCTCTCCATAGGGGATGCCGCAAAGGTTTGGGAAATGAGCAAAGCTGTGGAGCACTTTCCCACATCCAGCCCTGTGCTACACCATCACAATCCCTTTCCAGCCAGGACGTGCTTACTGCTACCAAACATTCACAACCTGAAGCCGTATTTTGCAAGTGGAGAGGCTGGAAGGACCATCAGACTTCTCCTCCTGACCTCTAGCCCACTGATGTTCAACCACGCACATCCCAAGACCAAACCCAGCAACTTGGTTTTCTTCCAGGCAGGCTCCCAGCCCAACTTTTGGAGACATCAAGAGATGGAGATCAACCACTGCCCTTGGGAGAATGCCCCAGTCGTTAATCACTGGCAGGAGCAAACCCAAGTGCCTCCATCCTAGCTCAAAATTGCCTGGCTGTGTCTCCCAGTGCCTGGCTTGTTCTCCACTGCTCTCTGTGAGATTAAAGAGAGCCCTTCACTAACCAGCATTTTCTCCTTGTAAAGACCCTCACACACTGTAATCAAGGCACCTCTCAATTTTCTCCCTGATAAGCTAGAAGAGCTCTTTCCTTCCAAATCTCTCAATGCCGGCCTCTCTCTCCAGCCCTCAACTCATTCCTTGACTCTGTGCTTGATTGTCTGGTGTCTTTTTGAAAACCTAGACACAGGAGTTGCTCACAGCATTCCCAGCTCCCCACAGCACACCCCAAGGGACCCCAGTCCCTTGTGCTGCTCCTTTCAGGAGTACTAAAAGGAGCACTAAATTGCCTGGGTGCTCTGAAATCCCTGCACAGAGAAGCCCACCCTTCTGCTGCAAGAAAAGAGGAGAGACTGGGGTGAAGAGCCAGTTTTGGTGGTGAAGAGAGCTGAAATGCTGTGTTTGGTGTTCCTCACTAGCACAAAACCTAGAAGACATCAGGAGGAATAATAGGGTACCACATTTAAACCAAAGGCAGCAGCTGTTCACATCTCACAGCTCACTGCTGCAGGAAGGCACATGGGCCAAAAAGCATCATTGGTGGGTTTACAAAGAACGGGATAAATGCAGAGATGACAGATGAGAGGACAGACATTGCCCCGGCAGACCGAGCACACAACCCCAGCCTCTCCTCTGTGGCCAGTGCTCAGACGTGGCTACCAGGGGACACAGAGGGGGAGCATCTCCCAGAACCTTTCATTCCCTCTGGCCCCAAGACACTGCTCCTGGACTGTTTTTGGGATACAGCACCAGCTGCCGTCTCATCTTTTCAGTTTCTGCAGATGTGATCCCCACCAGCTGCTTTTGCAAGGCTCTGTGCAGGGCTGCCTCACTCCCCTCCTACCCAGCCTGCACCTTCCCTTGTGCCTGACACCCTACCAGCTCTTGGAGGATGCTGAGTTTCAAGCCTGATGTTCATCTTTAGCAGATGTTGTTCAGCCTACCCTTGGACAAAGACACACTTCATCATCCCCCGATCCTGGTACATCTGCCTACATCCTTCCAGTGACAGCACTGAAACATTTACCAATTGTTTCTGCCATGTCTGTTCCAGTATCAATCATTTTACCACCTCTGTCTACTAATAAGCTTATCCCACTGCTGGGAGCTTGGGGTTTTCTCCTACTACACTAAATAAAAGCCTTTCCTTCTGTCCTTCACCATGATTTTTCACTGATGTTTTTAGCTTCTGTTATCCATTTTCTACACTTCATAATTTCTAATTTATATTGATTGCTATCTACTCCCGCTCTCCCATTTGTTATAAACTGCTCTTTTATTTCTAATTGCTGCCTTCACTTCGCCGCTGAACCAGAACGGGCTCTTGGCCAGCACTGCCCTTTCTTGATTGTGGAAATGTGGCTTTTTGTGGCTTCTGAGATTCTTCTGAAAGAGCTCACCATTTTCATTCACATTTTTCTATCTAAATGTTTCCTCTGAGCTGATTTCACTCATAATTTTCCCCCTGCTTTGGGAAATTAGCCCTTTCAAAAGCATGAAGGATATAAATTACTGTGTAGGAATGTTCTTTCTTTGCCCAGGGTGAATGTAATCTGGTCATGATCATCGGTGCCTAGGCAACATCCAAGTTGCAGTCCAGCAGTAAATTCATCTCTATCCTTCATAAGCAGGGGGAAACGAAAGTTGCCTGCACTGGATGCAACACCTCGCATATAAAAAAGGGATCATCTCTAGTTTTTAGAAACTCTGCAGATCATTTATTCCTGGCTGCACAAGAGCATCAGCTTGTCTCATAAAGCAATATCCTCACAAAGTCTGTGTGATACCACTGACACCCTGGTTGACTCCCTGGCCCCCAGCAGGCACCACTGCTTCCTACTCCTGTGCCTTTACAGTGAGCACAGGAACACTCAGAAGCATCCTGAGTCTTTTTGCATCAATGAGCATCAATCATTTCTGACCTTGACACATTAGTTTGAATCATTTTAGTGCTTCTGTGATGATTTCCAGTCATGAAAAAGGATCAGAGGAAAGACTCTCTTCTTCCAGTCCCAGTTTCTCCAAAGCACGTGTCTGATTTTAGAGCTGAGTGTGGCAAGGGGACAGTGCTGGGCACAGCACAGATAACATGGTGAAAAGCACTTGTCCCCACAATTCGCCACTGTGAAGTCACCTCTAAAAGCAACAGGTGAACCAAAAGGACCAGATGGCTTCTCCTCATTCACCTAATACCTGCCTGCCATCAACATCAGTGTTTCAAGTCCACAGCAAGTGTGGGAGACAGGTGAGGATGGCCCAGCAATAGCATACTCCCGTGGAGCAGCCAGCCTGGCTGGCACCTCTGGGCAGCCAGGCAGTGCCAATCCAGCCATGCCAGGCATGTCCCCAGGTCTGCTCACCCTGCAGATGAGGTGCAGGGACACAGAGAGGGCCATAGGAGAGACAGAGGGCTTGACTCCTCTTCAGATAAGTCCAGTCAGTCCCATCAGTGCTCCCATCCAGCCTGGCCACCTCACACTGGGGCTGCTGATGCCAGCTCCTGACCACCCCTGTGCCAAAGGATGGGGGACTTGCACTGCTCCTTACCTCAGCCATGAAGTTCTGCTGAAATGTCTCCTCCTGGAAGGGCTCTGTCCGCAGTCGGTCTGCAAGGGAGAGAGGGATCAGCCTGGGCAGGTCTGTCCAATCCTCCTGCCCCAGCTTCCCCTTCCCCTGCCTGTGGGGCGAGGAAGCTGCAGGGAAAAAGCTCCAGCACACCTATCAGAACCAGCAGGGGAGCCAAGCAGGCCCCTTGGGCTAGGAACACATCACCCAGTTAACAGAAGGTGCAAGGACCACAAGGAAGTGGGAGAAACACGGTTGAGCCTGCTGATGCACACAGCAGCCAGGTAGCAGAGCCAAGAGCCCTTGTCCCAGCACCCTCCTACACCGAAGAGCAGGGGACTGTGGCAGCACATGCTCAGCACTATTCCCAGATCTTACAGTTGGAAAGAGCTGCCTGAGTCTACGGGACAGGGTACTGCTTGTCCAGCTGCTTTTCTGAAGGAGTGAGCCAGCCTGTGTCCTCCTCTTGCAGGACAGGGACATACCCCTGTTATATTCTGCTCTGCACCTTGTCAAAAACACTAGTTTTTCCCCATGTGATGGGGGGAAAAATGATGTGGTCTGGAGAAGCACCTGGCCGGATTCGCTCAGCAGCTGTGGTGCAAAGCTTACTCCCAGCCTCCTGCCCTGCACCAAGTAAGGGACAAGAGGGGTCACCTGCTCACAAGCTTCCATCCCTAGACCCAAGCCAGGCTGTCCTGGCTGCTCCGAGTCCTGCAGAACTGGCATGCAGCAGGAGAGAGGGGAGCGCAGCCAGCTGATGCATCTCTAGTGCACCTGCGGGGCAGATCCAGGCTCCTGTGGTGGGGCACCTGTCGTAGGACCACATCACCTTCCTGGACATGATATACAAGCCAGGGCTGAGCCCCATCAGTCTCCACATCCGGGGGGGCAAGGTTTCCACAGAAGGGCAGGTATCACCTGTGGCAGCAGGACAAAGCATGGCACTAGCAAGGGACAACCCAAAAAAGAGCATCCAGCCAACCTCCATGGGTGGAGGACAAACTGCCCTCTAAGGTGGCTCCCCCCAGCAGGTCCTGACCCACATCCTACCCCTAAGAGGGCTACTGCCTGCCTGTTCTGCCTGATGGCAAAGTGGGCTGGGCGCTGGAGGGGGACCGATGAGCATGGCTGCACTTTCCATGTATGAGAGCCAGGAGCCCCTGGTTGCTCTCCAAGCAGTCAGTGAGCTACTGTGCTCGGGAAGGGAGCCTGACACCTCTACAGGGCCAGCCCTTGCTGGCATCCCCGCCAGCTCCTGGGGACCAGCCAGGTGCTCTCGAAGTAGTGGAGAACCCCTTGGTGACTCCCCAACTCCTCCAGCTATCGGTCAAGGGCTGTTCCTCCCCCAGCTCTCCCCAGGGCTTTTCCCCAGCCTTCTGGCTACCATCATACTGCCGGCTCAGCTCAACAGGAAACACAAGCCTGGCTGAGTAATCGCCAGAGGGAGCAGAGCACACCAGTCCTGTGCTAAGGAGAAAAGTCGCTCCCTGCCCCAGGTATTCCTCCTCACCTCTGCTGAGAGTGGCCCCGCTCTCCCTGTAATCTTCAATCTCAGCATCCTTCTGGAGCACCAGGGAGATCAGCTCTTGCACCTGGTGCTGCAGTGCCAGGTTCATCCGAATCAAGGGCCGCACGAGGTGACGGAACACCTATGATGGAGGAGGGACACTCTAGGAAAGGTCCAGGGAGGCATACAGAGTGGTCAAAGCAGGACAGCCAGCAAGGTCCTAGCAAGAGCTGAAGCCCAGGTCACAAAGGGCTCCCCAAAATACCCCACATCTCACCCAAATGCAGTGGGAAGTGGTCAAAAGGTGTAAGGTGGAAGAAGGTAGGCCAGATGCTGTGGGACTCATCCCTCTATCCCAGTTCCATCCTTTCACACCTGTGGGCTGTAGCAGGGGAGAGCTTAGGTGGGAGAGCCCAGTGGGAATAGTGCGCAGGGATAGGCAATGCTCCATCCACTGTCTGAGGTGCAGCAGAGAGTCCCCATGTGCCACCCAGACCCTCCCCAAGGCTCTGCATATCTCATGGCATGTTCTTATGCAGGAAACAGGCACAGCTGGGCAAAAAACCATAAAGACATACCAAGGTATCAAACTGCAGCTTGAGGAACAGGAGAGACTCTCCCAGGGAGGTAAGATCACAAGCAGAAGAGACCCCAACATACAGGACTCACGGAGGCTGCAGCTCCTCATCACAGCCCACTAGTGCCACCCTGAGCTTACACTCACACAAGCCCCATGCAGAGCCCTGGGCATGTCCTCTGCCCCAGAGCCAGGCTTGGCCACTCTGGCCCAGCAGGCACATGAAGCAGCCTCCCTCAAATCACCTTCTTCAGTCTCTGGCAGGGTATTTGAGATCCCCCCAACCCATCATACTCCTTGTCTCTGTGGCTAGGCTGAGCCCACAGGCGAGAGGACAGAAAACCCTGCATTGCTCCTAAAGCATTCTTGCTCCTGTGACAAGTGACCTCCACGCTCTGCTCACACACTCAGGCACAAGCCACAGAAGTGGCGGCCATCACCCACCCGTGCACTCAGAGTGCACCATCCACAGCAAGGATGGGACAGGGCAAGACAGGTGGCCTCTGTGCCCACCTCAAGCCTCTGGCTGGGGCAAAGTCGGTTTCCATTGCAGCATCAACACCAACCATGCTCAGGACCCCAACCACTTCCCACCTCTGCGGTGCCTTGCAGACCTCCAGTGTGTGTCCAAGCTAAAGGAGAGGAGCAGCCGAGAGCATGAGCTTTGCACCTCCTCAGCTCAGCCTCCGCGAGCCTTGCCCGGGGAGGGACATTAAATCCCTGAGGCAAGCCAAGGTGAGACCCCGATTATTTGCTCCCCAGTTCGACCCTGACGGTGAGGACAGGTCCCGCAGCAGCCGGGGAGCCCGGCTCTCCCCCGGTGATGCCCAAGCACAGCGGTTTGTGGGGAGAGGAGCCGTGCTCCGCAGCGCGACCCTCTGGGAGCGGGGTGCCGGGGCTGTAGGGCGCTGCCTCCCGCCGGCAGCGGAGCCGCAGGGCCGGCCCGGGGCCGGGGCTCCGCCGGAGGCTCCCGCCGGGCCGGTTCGCGGGCGCCGGGCGCCCTCTTGTGCGCGCAGGGACGAAGGGCCCCGGGGGATCACAGAAAATGCTGTTGTACGGGACCCATGAGGATCATCGATTCCAACCCTTAGCCCTGCACAGGACCATCCCCAGGAGTCACACCATATGCTTGAGAGTATCATCCAAATGCTTCTTGAACTCTGTCAGGTTTGGTGCTGTGATCACTTCCTGGGGAGCCTGTTCCAGCACCCAACCACACTCTGGGTGAAGAACTTTTTTCTAATATCCAACCTAAAGCTCCTGTGACACAACTTCAGGCCATTCCCTTGGGTTCTGTCACTGGTCACCAGAGAAGAGATCAGTGCCTGCCCCCCCTCTTCCCCTCACAAGGAAGTTGTAACTGCAATGAGGTCTCCCCTCAGTCTCCTCTAGGCTGAACAGACCAAGTGCCCTCAGCTGCTCCTCACATGGCTTCCCCTCAAGGCCCTTCACCATCTTCATTGCCCTCCTTTGGATGCTCTCTAAGAGCTTTATATCTTTCTTATATTGTGGTGCCCAAAACTGCACACAACATTCAAGGTGAGGCTGCACCAGTGCAGAGCAGAGCAGGACAATCCCCTCCCTTGACTGGCTGGCGATGCTTGGCCTGATGCCTCCCAGGACATAGTTGGCCCTCCTGGCTGCCAGGGCACTGCTGACTCATATTCAACTTGCCATTGACCAGGATCTCCGGGTCCCTTTCCACAGCACTGTCTTCCAGCATCTCATTCCCCTGGTTGCCCCATCCAAGGTGCAGAATCTGGCACTTTTCCTTGTTGAACTTCATATGGTTGGTGATTGCCCAGCACTTTAATTTGTTGAGATCTCTCTGCAGGGCCTCCCCGCTTTCTAGGGAGTCAACAGCTCCTCCCAGTTTTGTATCATCTGCAAACTTGCTCAGTATCCCTTCCAGTCCTAGATCCAAGTCATTTATAAAGATGTTGAAGAGCACAGGGCCTAAGACGGAGCCCTGTGGAACCCCACTAGTGACAGGTCACTAGTCTGATGTTACCCCATTCACTATTACCGTCTGTGCTCGACCCATAAGCCAATTGCTCACCCACTGCATGATGTGTCTATCCAGCTGTATGCTGCACATTTTGTCCAGAAGGATATTGTAGGAGTCCCGGTCCACAGCCCTGTCCCACCTGCAGGGATCCAGCAGAGGGGCTGCCTCCAGAAATGCAACATCCTGAGCAGCGCCCTGGACAGCTCCCCTTAAAAGCCAGGGAGACCCTGCTTTAATTCCCTCCATCATGACAGATCATTTGCAGGTCCTCCAGGGGTACCCGCCGCCCTGTGGCCCATTTCACAACGTGCACCAAAAGAGAATAGCATCACTCTGCTCTACAGGGCACTGACAAGGCATCACCCCACAGTGGACACAGAATCATACAAAGGTTTGAGTTGAAAGGGACCTTCAAGATCACCTCGTTCCAATCCCCTGCCATGGGCAAGGATGCCACCCACTAGACCAGGTTGCTCAAAGCTCCATCCAGTCTGGTCTTGAACACTTCAAGGAGCATCCACAATGTCTCCGGGCAACCTGTTCCAGTGCCTCATCACCCTCATAGTGAAGAATTTCTTCCTAGCAGCTAATCTAAATGTGTCCTCTTTTAGTTAAAAACCTGTATCACTATTTGCCAATGTAAAAGGTGCTCTCTTGCTTTTCTATAAATCCTCCTCAAGTACTGAAAGGCTGCAATGAGGTGTCCCTGGAGCCTTCACTTCTCCATGCTGAACAATCTCATCTTTCCCAACCTGTCTTTGTAGGAGAGGTGCTGCAGTCCTCCCATCATCTTTGTGGCTCTCCTCTGGATCTGCTCTAACAGGTCCATGTCTTTCTCGTGCTGAGGACCCCAGACCTCAATGCAGAACTCCAGGTGGGCTCTCATGAGGGCATCTCCCTCCTGCCCTGACAGCAGCATGTGCTGGGCCATCCCTGCCTCACCGCAAGGCACAAACCAAGGTGTCAAGGTCTCAATGGGAAGAAACAGGGACAGTAAATCTTGGGAGGGGCAGCAGGCAGAGTCAGCAATCTACAGTCACCAGCATGGCTTAAGACCATCCAAAAGCTTCCAAGCATTAGAAGACAATCCCTAACTTTGGCCATCCCCTCCCCAAACTCTCCGCAGCTTTACTCACCATTTCCAAGGGAGCAGGGCAGCAGTGGAAGTCCCAGTAGAAGGGCAGTCCTGACAGCTCGCTCTTTACATGCAGGATGAGGCCACTGGTGGAGCGGTTGCAGGAGAAGGTGGTGGCAGGTGCTGGCTGCCCTGCCAGCAAGGGGCACATCAGGTTGCACAAGTGGTTCAGGAAGGAGGACACATTGACCATCAGCCGCTTGTTCAGCTCCTAAGGAAAGGCAAGGTTAGGGGGCACAGCAACGCCCCGGAGAGCTCAGCATCAGGGAAAAAACAGCACAGAAAGAGCCAAACTAGTCCATGTCTCACTGCAAAAAGCCATTCCTGGGCCTGAGCGTCAGCCTCATGACAGGACATTCCCCACTGGTTCTCCCAGGCCAGGCAAGCTGGGAAGGCTCCCCTGTCCTGCCAGCCCAGGATGAGCAGAGTGCAGTGGTTTCCACTAGCACATCTGCATGCCACCACAAGTGTCACAGGCTGGCCAAGAGCCGACAGCAGGACAAACTGCCATAGCTGGGGGATGGCTGCCACCATATGCCTACTCTTCCTGCCACCAGCCATTCAGCACAGCCATTATGTGACACAGAGACATGCCACTTCAGTGGCACATGGGGGCCTGGACACATGGACTAGAATGAGGAGCTGAGGCATGGCTCCATGTGTTTCTGGGGGCCGGGCTGACAGGATACCCCGTGAGAGACTGTCCTAGCTATGAATGTAAGCATCATCTGTCACCGGATTGTTGACAACCCTGTTTCAAGCTCCTCCTTAGTACACTGTTATTGCTGGGGAAACCAGCTGCCCATCCGACCCACAAGTGAAAGGAGTGTGCCATCCTCTGCACAGAGACTCAGTGAACACCTAGTTGCCTTTGGCATGCTAAATAGCTTGGCCCACTCTCACAGGAGGAGAGTGTTTGGCCAACTGGCATGACAGTGCTTGGGCAAAGCTGCCCAGGGACTTCCTGAGCTTGGCGTTTGCACCCGAGCCTTGTCAGATCCAAGTCATTGTGTCCCCAAGCAATTTATGCTGGGATGTCAGCTGCTGCAAGGAGAAAAGGAGGTCCCCGGACTTTTCAGGCACTCACCTTGGACCTTTGTCCCACAGCCTCGGTGTCTGCACTCTCGTACCAGACACTACTGAGGTCAGAGATCAGCAGGATATAGCCAGTATCCTTGAAGCACACTTTGGCAAGAAAAGCAGACTCGCCAAAGTGAACAGAAGCCCAGGGCTGGGTCAGGAGGCTGCTCTCCAGCTCCTTGGAGACCTCCATCTGCAAGAGAGCAATCAGGCCTCTGCCTCAACCTCCACCCAGGAAAATCTTGGTCCCTGCTGGCCCCTTCACGATGCAGCCCCACCCCACAGCACAGAGGTGAGGATGCTCAGCCAGCTCTGGTGACCCACATCCCTGCACATGCATGCAGAAGAGCTGGGGTGGCCGTTTTGGGGAGCTCAGTGCAGGGCAGTTCCCACCGCAGCTCACAATAAGCATCCCAGATGCACCAGCAGATGCACGGCAGCGTAGCTGCTGCCGCCCGAGTTACCTCGTGCTTGCTGATGGTAACATGACAAGACTTCTATGCACAAATTAACATTTAAGCTGCCCCGCAGGCAGCAGGACACTGCAGCCCTCCTCCTGCTGGGGCATCCCGTCCCCGCGCTCCACGGGAGCCCGCGCCGTCCCTGCCGGCAGTGACACCGGCAGTGCCGGCAGCCCACTGCTGCTTCCCGCTCCTCCCTAGGACGGACTCCATGCCTCCCGAAACGCTCAGGGACCCAGCACCCGCGGGGTGCCCGCAGGCCTGGGGCTGTGCGAAGCCGCGGCGTTACCCGAAGGCAGGAGGGGGAGGCGGACAGAGACTGCCGAGGCGAGGGCTTGCAGCCGCGATCGGCGCCGGGCCGTGGGCGAGAGGCGAGGGCAGACTACGGCTCCCGGCATGCTGCTCTCTTCCGCGGCCAGCGGGGCCGGGGCACGCCGGGAGGTGCAGCTGGATGAGACACGGGCGCTGCCATATCTTACTCGGAGTGTGGGGGGTCAGTGCTCCTGCTGCCTCTCCGCTGCTGATAAGGACAGCGAACCGAGCTGGCCCGTCCCTCTAGAGCATTCCCAGTTGCCGCAGGAGGTGCCACGGCTGGTGGGGACCGAAATGCCTTACGACTTTGTTTTGCGCTTGCGCCTGTTATGAAATGTCCTGGCATAAGTGCCCAGCTGGGGACAGGGCAGGTACAGCCGGAGAGGCAGCGGTAGCGAGGGTTTCCTCATGTCCCTTGGCCCCGGGTTTATTGCTCAGCCCCAGGGTGCCGGCGCAGGCACGGCACAGGGCAGGCACCTGCACCGCTGTTCTCCCCGGCTGTGCGGGAACTGGGCTGCTGTGCCGCAGCCAGCCCTGCATAGCTGTGGCTGCAGGTGCCTCTGTCCCACATGTGTGGGGACTGGGCTCACAAGACACCACAGAGCAGGGCTGTGCCAGCTTGGCACACCATGCACCTTCAGTCCTCTCCACACTGAGCACAGCCCCCATCCTTACCCCAGGCACTGATCTTGGAAACCCCAGCACCCACACTGACTGCAGTCCCCAATGTGCACTCCATGCATTGAGGCCATCCCTCCGGCTCTCATAAAATGCCTCCTGTGCACCCACGTGCTGCCCCTGAGCCCCCATTTACGCTCTATTCACACACCCTTCCACTCACCCCTCTCCCTAGTGTGCAGGCTGCAGCTGCACCTCAGAGCAGGGCCAAGGGCGGATGGTCATCCCAGAGGGTTTTCATTCTGAAGAGGTGCCAGGGAACAGCGAAGAAAGCAGGGACTTTGGGGCACAGGACAGACTGGGTTGCATGGCCAGGTTAGAGTGCAGGAGGGTTTGGTGTGCAGGACTAGTTGGACTAGTCCAACTAGTGCACAGCTGGAACCTAGGGCCAGGTTGGGGTGCTGGCTGGATGGGAATGAGCTGTGCATTACACCCCGTGCCCACTGGGTGCACAGGACCCAGCTGTGGGGATCAGAGAGAGCTGGGGAAAGAGGCCTCACAGCTGGGCACCTACACACACAATGCCACCACATCTCTTGCAACTTGCATCCACCTTTGGGTGTTTCTGGGTGTTGAGGGCCTCCTTGGGACTAGGTGGAGGGGGCAGCCACAACTTGGAGCTGTGATCCAGCACATCACACCCATGGACCAGCTCTAGCTTCCTCCCAGCAAAAGTCCATCCTCCCTTCGAATTTGCACCCAGGGCAGTTCAGGCTGGTGGAGGTGACATGGAGGGGAGGCAGCAGAGTCCTTTCTGTGGACTCTGATCTGCTGTAAACGCTGGAGCAGTGAGCAGGGCTGGTGCAGACTCTGCTGCAGACGGCAGTGGGAAACAACCCAGGCGCTCAGCTTATCCCCTTAGGTCAAAGGACATGTTTTCTTCTCCAGGGAAATCCGCTGTTGGGTGGTTTAGTCACAAGAGCAATACCTAGGGGGCAGTTATGTGGTGAGCACTGCTGGCACCATCCTACTGTAGGTGAAAGGGCCTTCATTGTTTTGAGCTGAGCTGAGTTTTGATTCTGAGCTGAGTTGCACCCCCACCCTGGGGCATCCTGGAGTGCCAGAGCATTAGTATACAGCTGGTGCTATTGCCATCAAGGAGCCATGGGCACAACTGGGACACAACAGGAAGGAGGTGGAGAGCCAGCCCTTCCTCAGCACAGTGCCGGCAGGTAAGCATGCCTAGGGTTAGGGTTAGGCCAGACCTTTGGGGCTGGCCAAAGCACTGAGCCCTCCCCTAGTTATGTCCACAGGGTGATGGTGGGTTTTAGAGGCACCCATATCCTCAGCAGCAGAGTCACCAGGTGGCCATGCCCTCCATTCACAGTCCTCAGGGCAGCAGGGGATTCCCCAGGCAAATCCTGTCTGGAAAGGAAACCCCTGGAAAGGGTGAAGTTGGTTGAAGGTTTTTATATCTGCTCCCAAGCAGGGAAATCAGGTTTGTGCTGGGAGGGTGGAATCTCAGGTCCCTCCAGTCCACATGGGCTTCAGAAATGAGAAGCAAAGTGGCTCACAAGCTGCCTTGGGGACACAGCCCTTGTTTCACACAAGACATCCTCACACCACAGGGTCAGGCCACAGTGTGCCATGCGGGCACCTCTGTCTGGCTTGGCCTCATTGCTGGCTGTAGCTCCCCAGAGCTGGGTTTGGGGAGCAGGTGTGTCCCTTCCCCTGGAGCAGCAGTCCCCTGCTCAGTGGCACAGCTGCCCTCCTCCTCTTCCTCACTCCTTGGGCAGAGGAAGCAGCAGGGGAAGGCTTTGCAGGAGGATGGCAGCAGCCTCCACAGCCCAGTGGGGAGCCCGTATGCTTGGCTGACTTCTCCCCTCTCTCCACGGGGGTGACAATCACCTGCCCCAGCTTTCCCAGGTGCCAGATCAGAGGGCAGCCCTCGTTCCTCCAGGGTTCCTGGGAGGTAGGCAGTGAGATGGGAGCCCCTTCCTCCAGGTGCATCCTCCCAGCCCACACCAGCCTCAGGACCCTAGCAGGACTGCTGGAGGCAGACCTGGTGGTATGGGAAATGACAGATCCAGCCCTCAGAGCAGGAAGTATGCAGAGTACCTAGAACAGCCCCTCACCTGAGACCGTGTTCTCCAGAAAAAATGACAAGAAGCCAGTTAAGAAGACAGGCATCATGAGCAAGGAGAGGAAGAGGAGGTCCAGTGGCACCCAGCCTGCAGGGACAGTGCCAGAATCAGCCTGGAGGTCCCAGCCCAGCTGGGGGAAAGGGGCTGGAGCAGCCATGGCAGACCCAGGGAAGGAGCTGCCTGATACCATGAGCTGACCCAGCCTCCCAGGACACCAGAGATGTGTGGTCACCATGCCATGGGACCCAAAGCTTTGCCTTGCCTGGGAAATGTCCCTTCTACCTGTGGCCAGGTGAGTCAGAGCTGCACTGAACCACCGCGGCACCAGCAGTGCCATGAACATGGCAAAGCCGACAATGAAGATGTTCCTCCCTGAGTCGATGTCTGCGTACTGGAAGTAGGAGATCCCCGTGCCCACAGCCACGGCGTAGGTGACACAGAGCACCCCTCCTGCGAGGGACAAGAGTCAGGCAGCACCAGGCAGGCTGCAGGTGCCGTAATGAGGGGCAGGGCAGGGTACCCACCGTGAACTGCAAGCGGGATGCGGGTGAGGAGCCCTGCCAGCCTCGGGGACATGCCCAGTACCAGGCATGCCAGCGCGCTTATTTGCACCGAAAGGCGAGAGCCAGCCTGGTAGAAAGAAGAATGGAAGTGAGGATGGGTAGCACCACCCCCTACTCTGCCTCCATCCCCATTCTGCCATACGCACCTGCCTTTCCCAGTGACAGCCTGGGCATTACAGGTCCCCCACACCTGCTCCATTGCCTCCCTGTCCCTTGCCAACCTTTCTCCCCCTACCCTGGCATACCTGAGTGAGGCCAGTGGTGCAGGTGTTGGCGATGCTGGAGGCCGTGCCCCCCGGGGTGCCCAGCAGTCCTGCCAGGAGGCTGCCCAACCCTTCCATGCAAAGGCCCCGGTTGCAGGCGTGAGGGGGCAGCCGGGGGGCTCGCAGCAGCCTCCCACACAGCACGTAGCAGCCCACCGAGTTCATGCTGCAGCCGATGGCCATGGCAATGCCCACTGCCAGCGCCCGGGGGGTGAGCAGCGGCCACCCCCACTCACCTGCAGCGGAGGGAAGAGGGATGGGTGATAGAGGCCCCAGCCAAAGGTGAATGGCTGCACTTAGCCCTGCTACCCCCCACCTGCATAGGGGATGCGGACCCAAGGACCATGGAAGGTGCTGTTGGTCCAGGACAGCTGTGCCATGGCCAGGTCCAGTGATTCCCAGGGTATGTGGAAGCAACTGAGGATGGCACAGACGATGCAGACAGCAGCAAAAGGGAGCAGTACCTGCAAGGCAAAAGGGGACACTCAGGACCCTCCTCCCCTGCCTGCCTTGGCCAGTGCACTGTCTGCTGTACCCCAGGCAGCAGGTCCTTGTCCTATCACCTCTTCCATGGAGCTATGCCACATCTCCCCTTACCCCCGCAGGGAGCATCCCAGGCTCTGCTGCCCCAACACTCTGGGTTCCCAGCGCTTCCCCAGAGCTGCACCAGAACTTCTCACCCCTGCCTCTGCTCCAGGTTTCACCTAACCCCACACCAAAGAGCAAGGCTTGGAGAGAAGCCTGGTCACAGACGCAGTACCGAGAATGTGCGCAGGGTGGGAACTGACGGCTCTGTGGAGCCCTCCCGAGTGTGGGGCCAGGTGCAGAAGGGCAGGCGGCAGGATCGCAGGTGCTGGGAGAAGGTGACAGCAAGGAACATGAGCCTAGGAAAGGGAGCATAGGTCACCACACAGGATCACAGTGCTGGGGCCCCAAATATGTGTTGTGCACCACGGGGGTGCCCCATCCCTGTCCCAGTGGTGAAGGAAAGCCCCAAGAGCCGCACACCAGTATGGTCCCCAAGCTCACATACAGCAGCGCTACACCCCAGTTAGTGGAGCAGAAGAAAGCGGCTTCCTTGTATGCAGACAGCCCGATGATGGAGAGGCTGGGAGCCAGGACCATGGGCCCACAGTGCTGAGCTGCCCACCCGCACATGCCAGACATTCCCAGTACCAACTGAATCAGCCCAGAGACCAGCACTGCTCCAGAGACCTGCAAGAGGAAAGGGTGGGGCCTGTGGGGCAGGATACATGGAGAGCAGTCCAATACCTTCCCTTGGCCACACTCCCACTGCCCCAGTAGCATCACTTGTTCCACATGTTCTGCTCACCCCAAGCCCAGAGGAACACATACATGCACATACATGAGGATCCCCATTGCCTTTGTACATCCCCTTGTGTCCCCTCTACTCATGGCAATCCCCAGGAGGGACGGAAAAAGAGACTGGTGGTACAGGTATATGGATGAAAACTGGGAAGCTGATGGAGCAGGACAGGGACCCCCATCTCAGGAAGGGAGCACTCACCTCTTGCAGCGAGGCAGCCCGGCTCCCTGTGACAGTGCAATGTGGTGCAGGGCATGTGCTGGCCATGGCTGTGCCTGGAAGGGAATTTTGGAGGGATGTGATGCACATGGATGCTGGACTCCTGGAGCTGTGTCCAAGAGCACACAGCACGGAAGCTCCTGGCTAGAGAAGGAGCAATGTGCCAGTATCCCCATCCCCACAAGCCCTGACACTGGGGAGGTGACCAGATGCATTGCAGATGCACTCAGGGGTGAGTAGGGTGTTGTGTACAATCACCAGAGGGGCCAGCAGGCAGGATCCCTTGCTATCCCTCATCTCTACCCCATGTACCAGGCACCTCATCATTACCATTCCCCTGGCACCAGCATGGCCTGGGCCCCAAGGGACACAGGGTTCAGGGCTGTGCTCACCATTCTTGTCTGTGCTGGCACTGGGAGACAGGTGGGAGCTCAGCACCATGGCAGGGACCAGGTACTCAAAGGATGGGATTTGAACCAGCGGCAACCTGAAGAAAGGGACAGCGAGGGCACATTAGGGAGGAAGGAGGGGAGAAGGCTGCTCCAAAAGCCTAGGCTGACAGAGGAGCAGGAGTGGGAAGGGAACCAGCTAGAAACTTCAAAGTGGCAGGAGGTCATCACATAATCCACGTGTCCTAGTACATCCCAAGTGCCAGCACATAGGACGTGTGCAGAGGTCAGAGGCTTTGCCAAATCCTATACCCAGCCCTTGTGTGTGCAGCGCAGGCACTGGATGGTCTGGAGGAGCTCTGTATGATGCTGGATCAAGGCAGGGAGGAGCTAGAGGGAAAGCACAGTCATTTTTCTAGAGGGATGTGTGAGAGGGAGGGGACAGCTGTGCAGAGATGCAGGGCAAGAGGTTTTCCTTGTGCCCCTTTCCACCTCCAGCAAAGCCTGTCTTCCCACAGCCTAGGGGAGGGCAGAGACATGCCCTGCCATGGCATCACCCACCTCCTGGTGACAGCTGCACCCCCTTCATTCCCCTTGCTCACCGGCTCCCCAGGGTGGTCTGCAGCACCGTGGAGATGCCACAGGCAAAGAGGCTGCATGCCAGCAGCTCGCTGGTGGCCTGGCTATGAAGCAGCTCCTTGGGCAGGGTAGGCAGCAGGAGGAGGTGGAAGATGCAGAGCAAGGAGGCCTGCACGGCCAGGTGCTGTGCAGGGAAGAGATGGAGCAGTCACAATTCCCCTGCAGCACCCAAAGCTGCAGCTCCCCATGCCCAGGCCCCCTGAGTGGGTGGATGCCCACTGACACCACCTGGGCAGCACTCACCACTGCCCACTTCCCTCCCAGCACCCACTGGCCAGAGTCCCACACACCCTTTTTCTGACAGGATGCAGTCCCTGCCCTGCCACTTGAGAGGATCCCAACCCTCTCCTCATCATCCCGTCTCTCTGGCTCCTCACCATAGTCCCCCCTCACCTGAAGGGCTAAGCAGCAGGTCAGCATCCAGGAGCACATCTTTGGAGAGGAGCAGGATGTGAGCATGGGGCTCCCAGCTCCAGGCACTCTGCCATGGCCCCCATTCATGCTGTTGCCTTGCCGAACTGCTCCCAGTTTGCGTTGCAAAGAGGGTGGGTGGGATCCTACCCCCCTCAGGGCTCCTCACAAGCTCTCCCCTGCTGAACTTCCACCTTCTGCAGGAACTGCCCCAGGGTTAGCCATTAACTTAAGTTGGTGAGTAACCTGCCCTTGTGGCCAGGAATGCAAGTGTCACCCTAGCTTGTCACCACAAGGGCCAAGTGACAGCCAACCACAGCCAGGACACCAGACACTACTGCAGTGCCAACTGGCCACAGCCTGGATCCCATCCCAGCCTCTTGTGATACACAGGGCAGGGGCTGGGTGGGCCACAGCACAGACACCTCTTCTTCCATGTGCTTGGGGCATCTCCACGAGCAGCATCCTCCAGTCCCAGTATGCCCTGCCCATACCTGTTCCTCCTCAGCACAGCAGCCCCTGCCCTCCTGGTCCAGCCTGGTGTCTGATGGGGATCTGTCACATTACTCATTCTGCTGGGAGAGCACTGAATCCTACCACTGGACAAGGATGCCAGAGACAAGAGCTACCTGCTTGGCTGGAAAGGATCCCAAGGGTGCACAGGCAGGGGATGCTCATGTTTTTGTCACGGAGCAGAGGTGGATGTGTCAGTGACCTGGCTGAGCCCTTGCTGTGCAGGGCTCACTCATTAATAAGTAAGACTTTGGAGACCGTGCATTCCCCGCATTCCCAAGGATGGGGAACCTCCTCTCTCTTGGCTTCTACAGGCACCAGAAGTGATATTCCTCCTGTCACCAGAGAGCCTGGTTCCTCTTGAGCCCTGCAGGATAGGCTCCACAGTGCTCCTGAGCTCACCAGCAGCACTCAGGATCTGCCTCATACAGCAGCTCAGGGAGCAGGCATAGCTGCATGCTGCATGAATGGGGCTCCGCTCTGGGGCAGACATGCTGCCAGCACAGAGCAGCTCAGCAGGACAAGGCAGGCACACAGCAAGAATTACTTTTATTGGAAGAGATTTGCATCTACAAAAGAGTGAAAAACAGGTGTAAAATCCACAGTAAAAAGAAGGGGCATGATGAGCTCGACTGGTCAGCAAGACAAGGTGCCTTCTCCCCGCTCTGAGAGCAGTCAGGCAGTTTGCTCACAGACACAAACAGCTGGGATCTCGGATGAGGTCACAGAGCACCCCAGATTCAAAACACCCAACACAGGCAGGATAAGGAAGCTCAGCGCTAACCACACCTCACCCCCACCAAGCCCACAGGGGCACAACCTTTCCCGGGGGCACAGCCATATCGGGGTCCCTCCTTGGTGTCACCCTTGCACCTCTCAAAAAGTGGCTTAACAGCCCCTAAGTGTAATTTTACTGCTATAAGTAGTCGCTCCCCTCTCCTTCAGCCTTCTCTCTGACTGGGGTCACTGCCTCAGCCTCTCTACCCTGCACACACATCCCCAGCATCCTACATCCCACATGCCACCTCTGTCCAACACCGCCATGGGCCACCCACTCACTACAGGAAGAGGTACAACACCCCCTTTGCACTGGCACCCCAGCCCAAAGGCAATCCATTTCTATCCTTCAGCTAGCAGGTTCCCACCTCAGCACCCAGCAAGCCAGCTCTGCCCCAGTCTGTCCCAGCAGCCCCCAAAGTGAAGGATACCCCTGCCCTGGGTGGGGGGGACACAAATGCTGGTTTGGAAGTAATGCAGGGGCCTCCAGCCCCATGCAGCCCCAGGGATTAGGGTTTCCAGAAGTGCAAAGAAGTGAGTTGTGTCACACTACAAAGGAAGGGGAAAGGGGTTGCTGCCCTGTACTCCTAGCTGGGAAAAATGAAGCTCTTGATTCTACTGAGATCCATAGCAGAGTGTAAGAAGCACTGCTTCAGCCCCAGGGGGTCCAGCCAGTCCTCATGGTTGGGGGCTGCATCCCACGTGGGGCCTGCATCGGCTGAGCAGGCATGGCAGTGGAGCGCACGAGGAGCCGGGAGCACGGCGAGTCCGAAGGGGCCAGGCTGGCCTGGGGCTGCAGCAGGGGCGGTACGGTTGGATCTCTCACAGGCAGTGGGTACTTTCCGGAAAGGACTTTGTGGGAGCCTCCTATGTTGGGCTAGATCAGGTGCCTTTGGGTAGGACAGAGCTGTCATCACACTGCTCCACAGGTAGAGTGCAGTTGCTGTGACACTCCCACGACGTGGCTCCTCAGTTGTCTCGTTCTCCCCCAGGCAATGGGTGCTGCTGGCTGAGGAGACATCAGGCAGCTTGGGCTGGGGCTGGCCAGGGCCTGGGGCTGGCTGGGCATTCAGCTGGCACCTCCGCTCCTCGGGGAACAGCGCAGGCTGGGGGGCTGTAGGGCTGACGCTCCTCATGCACATGGACCGGTGCACCACAGTGACAGAGGCAAAGACGGCAGCAAAGCCTGTCAGGTACACCACGCCCAGGAGGCAGGCCAGCTGTGGAGAAGCAAACTGTTAGCCCAGACCCTCCAGCAGGAACCCCCAACCAGCCATGACCCTGCATGGCCACGATCAATCCAGCAGCCATGATGGCAAAAGGCATCACCAGCTCTAGGGCTGGGTGCCAGGGAGCAGGCAGCCACGCTGCTAACAGCAGGTGGCACACAGCCTGCCCAAAGCAGGGCCTAAGTACCACAAACCAAAATGCCCCAGCTAAAAGCTAACAGTTCCTATTCAAAATCCCAGCACCCAGTTCCCTCCATGCCACCACCATGTCTTTGCACCATGACATGTGGGGCTATAGTCCAGTACAGGGCACACTACCCAGCACCAGGCTGCAGTGCCTCAGGCAGTGCAGCTGCAAATCAGCATCTTCTGACAGCTTCCCTTTTCAACAGCTGCTGTTCCCAGGGGAAAAGAGGGTCCCCCTCCAAATCCACAGCCTGCTGGGTCCCATGTTCTTGCAAGTAGCTGCTCTCCCGTGCCCTTACCTTCACTACTTGCTGATAGAACTGGCCCAGCACATGCTGCCACACGGACTGTTCCATGAGGACACACAGATCTGTGTAGGTGAACCAGCCACGCCACATACCCTGTTTTTCTGCCACACTGCAAGGAAAAAAAGGGGAATGGTGGATGTGGCATGGACTTTCCCCGTCAAGGCAGCTTCAGCCCAGGCAGGCTTGGAGGAGACCCTGTTCAAGGTCTGTAGAAGGAAGCTGCAGAGCCTAGCAAAGGCTCACAGGTGTCCCAACCTCTTATTTCACTGCAGCAGGGCTACCTCCAAGCAGAGGCTGCAACATGGATGAAGGGGTTGCCCCCACCCCAGACACCTACCGTCCTTCCAGCCAGCTCAGCACTTCAAACAGCTCCCGAGGGTCTGTGTAGAGACTCCAGTCCTGTGGAGACAGCAGTGAAAGGTCAGTGCAGTCAGGACAGGCCACCCAGCACCCGGACACATCTTTCTCTGTTCCTTCATGGGAACACGTAGGGGAAAACCAGAAATCCAGACTCCCCTCAATGCCTCTTTTCCCCCGCTCTGTGAAAGTCAGCAGCAGTGACGGCTCTACTTACAATAGCGCTCAGAAAGTTCATCTCCAGCGTGTTCATGGTCTGGACGTCCACCTTCCCTGCTGCTCCCCACTCGTCGTTAAACACCTCCTCCTCCTCACCCTCATCATACAGGTACTTACTAGCAACCATCTAAAAGCAGCACAAAGGACAGGATCTCAGCCTCCACTGCACTCCTGCAAGCTTCCCTCCAACCCAGTTATCCCCCAGCCCACCACTCACCATGGAGATCAGGAAGAGGTCAGAAGATGAGATCTGCTGAAGGTATTCAGGGTTCCGGTGCCGGAGTCTTTCAATGTAAACCAGTGCCAACATCATGGAGCAGGGAGAGATGCAAGCTTCCCTGTGGCACAGGGAAGAACCAACACGAAGGTTATCCATGTGCTGCAGACATCCCAGCCACCATGGCACAACTTGGCTGCTCCCTCCCCATGTAGGCAGTGGGAGGTTTAGTAAATCACTAGATAGGTCGCAGCCTCGTGAGCTCTGTGCCGGGTGTCCTGAGCTGCAGCAAGAGAAAGTGCAGGAAATGCAAGGTGGAGAGCAGAAAGCCCTGGCTTCTGTTCTCAGGCACAGCCAGCTCCAAACTGAGCAGCCCTACCTGCAGCCAGGCATGCTATGAGGGCTCAGCTGCAAGGGCAGACCCTGCATTCAAACTTGGTTACACAGTGAGCTTCAGGTCCAGCCAGTACAGACTCACAGTAACAAGAGCACTCCTGTACCCCAGAGAGCAGGACAAACCTGAAGCAGGCCTGGCTGTGTTAGGAAGTCACTGTGCCTGCTGTCCTTGACACCTCCCCCCAGCTCCTTTTTGATACTAATCAGGCCTAAGCACAAAGCCAGTGCTGGCCCATGGACAGAAGTGAATCACAGGTAAGACCAGAGCTCCAAGTTCTGACACAGGACATGAAGGAACAGGTTTTGCTTCTTACCGAGATACGTGAGACACATACTTCTTCTGGAGTCTGCGGATAGGACTGGGAGCCACTTTCTGCAGCAACTCCACAGCAATATCTAGGACAGAAAAGCAGCAAAAGGGTTAGCCCCATGTGGCACAGTCCACCCCCACCCTTCCCCTTCTCCCTCCAAGCCCATCAATTCTTGGCATTTGCTCAGCTCCTCAAGTTTAAATTAAACTATGAAGGCAGGACAGGCCTTATCAGAGGTCAGGGACAAGTGAGGAACAAACAAATATGCAGGACAGGCAGACCACAGCAGGAAGAGGATGTGAGTGACCAAGGCCCTGCGGCAGTGCCAGATCAGCAGGTCTGTGTCACGGGGAGTCACCAGCAGTCAGCTGCAGAGAGGCTAACACCCTCCCACTCACCCTGCAGGACCTCAGGCAGCCCTTCTGGAGGCTTTTTTGCACCTGATGTCACGCTACATCTTCCCAGTCCTTTGCTCCCCTCCAACCAGCAGCATCCTCCCCCTCCAGATCTCATCAGCATTGATCCAGCTTCCCCCGCACCACAACCCTAGGGCTCCTGAAATGATGATGTACAACATATCCATGTGAGCAGGAGCCCAAAGGCACTAACAGAATTTGAAAGCAGTGATACGGTGTAACTGCAGCCCATCTCAGCCTGCTTCTCCTGCGCTCAAGGTGTGCCTCAGCATTCACCCACTCAAAAGGCCAGAGACTGACGTATACTGGCAGATGGCTTCAGCAGCTCCCATCTCACTTCCCGACACGATAGAACCAGCTGGGAGCATCCCAAGCAGCACTACAGTCTGGTGCTGGGCAAGAAGTGCTTTAGACAGGAAACTCCAGCTCCATTTTGCTGCTGAGCCCTTGTCCCACCGAGCTGAGAGCAGAGCTCATCCCAGCAGCCTTGCATTTTCAGCTCCCAGGGGAAGCATCACCATATAACCTCTTCTCTTCACACCCCTCCTTTCCATGTCTCTCCAGCAACTAAGAGAAGAGTTATTTGCCCAAACAGCAGCCACCAAACTCAGAAGCACCTCTAAGGGACCTCCCCAGACCATTCAAGCCACAACACCAATATAATGCACAGCCAGGCAGAAACAGCTCCATCCACCTGTTGGCTGCTCCCAGCCTCTCCCACTGCTGCTGCCCTGCCTGGCCACCCTTGTGCCGCTGCAGAGGCAGTGGCAATGTCCAGAGTGATGGAAATGACAGGAGGTCCCTCTAGGCTCTGTCCCGATATGATATCAAATTCTTCACAACAGCGTGCCCTGCCCTGTCCCCATCTCACAGCCACAGCGTGCTGAGGGTGGTTACTGTTCCTCCTTTCCCAAAGGAACAAATTAACTTTTCAACTTCTTTCTTCAGCCAGCGACATACTGCCTCCTGCAACTATCCCCAATACCAAGGACCTTTTCCTGCTCCTCCTGCTCCTTTGAACTCTACCAACAAGTCTCTAACTTGTTTGAAGAGCAGTGCCATAAACTTGCCATACAGCAATGGTACAGCTGTACCATGAGAGATGCCATAGCCCTATGCCCTGTTTTTTGGCAGCGGCTGGTTAAGGAAGGCTGTAAAAGCAGATCAGCCCACAGACATATTCCCTGTGCACTGCTCTCACCCCCCAACTGCTAGAGCCAAGGCATTTCCTGGGTGCAAGGCAGTCCTTAGAGCTAATAGCCCTCAACAGTCTTCTTCCATGACTGTGTCCTTTGAACTTTAAACACCAGTAGCATCCCATGGAACAGTCCCACCTCGCAGCCCAGTGTCATGCCAGCCCCGAGCCTCCCTCACACCGCTCGTGTCAGAACTCACGACTCCCAGCAGCACCCAGGCAGATCCTGCATGGATCTGCCCAGCATCCTCCTCCTCACTGAGGCAGATCACACAGCCTCCTGGCAACTTCAGACTGTTTCCCTAGCAAGCAGCTAATGCAAATACTGAGACAAACACACCATGAAGGTCCTCTAGTAAACCGCTGCTTGCCCTTGTCCACTCCTCTCCACCATCACCTGTACCACCTCCTCAGCCTCAACCCAGTCATGTCCTTCTGCTCCCCCAAACACTGCTGAATCAACAGGAAAAACCAAAAAGGATGTGATCCAGACAAACACACCACAGGAATTTGTTCCATTAGTGCTCAGAACTAGAAGCTAAAGAAATTCCCTGGTATTTTGCAGAGCACAAGAAATTGTCCAAGACAGCTCTCATCACGGACAGGTTCACAACGTTCACTGCCAAGGAATCCACAAGCAACCCAAAGGACTTTGCACACCAGTGAGATGCCAAAAACGCAGCAGTGGGCCAGACGGCAATAAAACAGAGAACAGGAGCCATGAGGCTCTGGCACCCTGCCCTGCTGCACTGCACTGAGTGGGAAAGGCTGGGCAGGGGTGGGATTTGGCACTGGGAAGGAAGCAGGTGACCTGTTGGTCTCGGCCCCTTGGGCTACTTCCAACCTCCTTGACTCAGCATTCCCATCTGAGGACAATCAGCAACCCACCTGCCACGGGGCTGGACAGATTATCCAGGCTGCAGTCTTTGTCCCAGCCATAGTAGAGCCGCTTCCGCACTCTCTCACTCAGCTGTTGGTGCCTGGGCAGGAACTGAAGGCAGACGGCGGAATGTGAGAAACGCCCAGAGCACTCCCCGTGCCGGGTTCTCTCTCCACCCCGACCCAGCTCAGGGTTACACCGAACCCAACAAGGCTACGAGCTCGGCCGGGGCCCGGTCGTGCGGCCACACGGGGCTCTCCGGGGGCGGGGGATATCGGGGGATCACCCCGGGTCCTGCTGGGGCCAGGCTGGGCCGGGGGCACTCACCGTGAACTCCTGGAACCCGCTGAGGGAAAAGGCGCCCTCCTCGTCCAGCAGCAGCTCGTCCAGCTCCATCCTGCCCGCACGCGGGGCAGGCGCTGACAGGTCCCCTCGGGCGGTGCGGGGCCGGCTCCGGGGCCGTTCCGAGGGCGCAGGGCCGGTGTCCTCTGGGGGGCCGGTGCGCGCCAAGGCCGAGCGCGTTGTTGTGAGCGGGGCCCGCGGAGCCGCTCCCAGGCCGAGCAGCGCCGCCGGGCCTCCCCCCTTCCCGCCCTTCCTGTTCCGGCGCGGGGGGCGCGGCCACCGCCCGCCCCTCCCGCCGCCGGGCGCACGCGCCGCCGGTTTCCCCCGGTCCCCCCCCGCCCCGCTCCGTCCCCGGGCGCACGCGCGCGGCGGCAGCGGCCGCCGGTCCCCCAGGCGGTACCGCCCGCCCGGGCCGGTGACAGCGGCACCTCCTCCCCCCCCC